TACCAGCACTCCTGCCTGGGCCCTTCCCATCTTTATTTTCTACAGAGTATGCATACTGGATTGGTCAGTGACAGGCTGAGCAGGGCTGGGCAGCTCATGGCAAATCTCATCTATTTGCTCCTGCAAAAGAGGGAGCTTTTGGGGGCAAGCAAACACAAAGGAAGAGCAGCAGTTTGGCTTGCATTGTTTTAGACTTGGTGCCTTCTGTGTCCAGGATCTGGGGGTATGACTCAAGAAGCATTTTTGTGTTAGAAACAAGTGCTAAGGACAAGCCCCACAAGTTACCTGCAGTGCTGCTAGTCAAATAAATGAACCTGCTGGGCTGAACTGCAGGCTCCTGGAAAAAAAACAGTGGTGGTAGAAAATGTATTTGTTCTTTGGGTCAATGGGTAGATACCTGTGTTGGCTCACCCTTCTAAGAATCAGGGAAGTTGATTGTCAGGTGTTTGCCAGAAATATATCAAACAGGTACAGGAGGTGATCTGGCAGGTAAAATGATTCGTTATCTATTGTGTGTCCAACCAAGAGTGGTGTGCCATCCATCAGGGCCAGAAGAGTTAAGTTGCTTGGTGGAGTGGAACCTAGTTTGTGGTATTGCAGGAAAGAAAGTCTCGTAGGTGTGGAAGAGCTGATTTCAATGTAAGAGCAGCAGAGATGTGGTCTGTGGTGCCAGGAGTTGTTTGATTTGAAGCAGCAGCTAGAGCACCAGTGTCAGGTGTCTGGGTTTCTTGCAGACTGGGAGAAAATAGTTCCCTTAATGCTTTACTTAAGTAAAAAGTGTCTTTAACTTGCAGCAACAAAACTTCAAACAGAAGGTTGTGGCATTGCTGAAGAGGTTTAAAGTGTCTGATGAGGTAAGTAATCCATTCTGTAAGCCTTTCTGTCTTGCGTGTTGTCCTCTGCTTGATGCATCTTGTGTTAGTTTTCAGAAACACTCTCCCATTTCCCCCTTTATTTTGTTTTCAAGTCTGCAGTGGATGTGACCTTTCTTTACACCCTGGCCTTGCATGGAGGCTTGAGGGCCAACTTCTAAATGTCAGCAAACATTTTCTAGATCAAGTTTTATCAAAAGCAGATTTTGGCAGCTGTGTGTGTACCCATTAGTTTTGCAGACTGCTTTGAAATTATCTTTGACCCTTTCAAAGGCAAATATTCCACGGTGTATATTGCTTGTGAAGTTAAATCTCAGCCTGTTTGATCATCTTACTAGAACAGCCAGGCAAGACATGAAAAAGTTGTATAGGGAATGCAGATTCTCAGGGAAGAGTCAGCTGTTTGGTCAGAGCTGAAAATGAAACAGATCCAGAACCCAATAAACCTGTGTAACATTAAGTAATATAAAAACAGTTAACATCTCAGTTGGCTGTATAGGTGTGTGCTGATTTTGTGGCTTGTGGGAAAGAGGGCAAACAGTCCTGTTAGCTTTGCTGTTCTTCCCAAGTTAGCTCAGCAGAGTCAGCACCCATAGCTGAGGACTCAGACAGCTGAGCTCCTGCTTTCCCAGAGCTGCCACTCAAAACTCTGAACTGGGCACAGCTGCCTGCTTACTCTGGAGTATATGTGAAGCAACCCGTGCAAGTTCTGTGTGAGATATCTGTGCTCCTCAGCATTGCGTGTGGGTGGCAGCAGATCCTGGTCCAGGTTTCAGGCGCCTCCTGTGGACATTTTTGGGTATCAAATCAGGAGGTGTCAGGACAGCTTTGTCAGTAAAATCTTAGACAGTTTACACTGTTGGGAGTACTGCATTTCTGTACTGCTTCTAAGAAAACTGGGACTCCTTTGGGGCCTTCTTAAAGCTTTGTTTACAGAATGGGGTTGAATAAGGGATATGGATAAATGGCCTGCTCATGGTCCAGTATGTAACTCCTGCTTAACCAGACACTGGCAATCTTGATCCCAAATAAGCACTTGTCATATACCTAATGTTTCTGTTGGATATAGTATCCTTGCACCAGAACAGAACCTTACTCCCAAGATGGGTGTACTGCAGTCCTTGGGGGAGCTCAGGTGATGCGGGATCAGTCTGATTCCTGGCAGTCATCAATACCTGCTTTTGTTCTGTATGTAGGTTCTGGATTCAGAGCAGGACCCGGCAGAGCATGTTCCAGAGGTGGAGGAGGATTTGGACCTGCTGTATGACACACTGGATATAGAGAACCCCAGTGACAGTGGGCCAGAAATGGAGGACGATGACAGTGTCTTGAGCACTCCAAAGCCAAAGTTAAAGTAAGTGTGGGGCAGCTTATGCTGGGCCAGAAAGAGAACCATGCTTAGTGTCAGCACAGATCAGATGTTGGTTTTATTCCCATCCTTCCATTCTAGGTTTTTTCCCATCTCGATGTGATGTTGGAGTCCTAATGTGTGTTTTTAGAATGGGAATGACTGCATGTGAGCTAGGGGTAGCGTGTGTGTGGGTCTAACTTCCCCTCAGTCTCTGTTCTTCCTTGTTCCCTTTGCAGATTGCTGCCCTGCCACCTGAGCACAGGGGTGGGAATTGCTGGCAGGCAGTAGAATTGAACTTTAAACAGGTGTTTGGAAGAGGTGGTAAAAACAGGCAGGAAATCTGTGCTAAGGCAGAAGGAGATGTGTTTGGAAGCTGCAGAATTAGAGGCAGGGATGGACAAGGCAGACTGTCTTTCTGCAAAGGCTGGTAATACCCTGTGTGGAAAAAGAGTCTTTGCAGGGATTACGGAAGCAGAACTGCAGGAAACAAATGAATTCCTCAGGGCCCAAGGGGACTGTCTGTAGCACACATAGGTACACTCAAGCCTGTTCTGAAAGGGCTTTTGTGGACACTGGTATATGGGTCAATCACAGCACCACATAGCTGAGCTGGGAATTGCTGTCTCAGGGTCTTGAGCAGATGCAGAACCCTGAACTAACAGAGCTGTGTCACATTCCTGCCCAGTAAAGACTGCAAACACGAGACTGTTCAAGCTGCACTCATGCTTCTGACTGGTGTGTGGTTGCATGTTCAGGCCCTGAGTGTTGTGATGGCTCTGAAACAAAGCACTGTGGTACTGACCACTGCAGTTGGTGAGTACAGCATCTGCTAAATGCTGGCCAATTACCAGGTGTCACAATGTCCTCATTAGTGTAGAATAACCTAGTTGGGCTAAGAATAGATTTTGAGTCTGGAGTGTCTTGTTCCCTGTTTGTGAGCCAGAAGATGTCAAGGATAGACCTGGGGGGCAGCAGTAGTAAGGGGCTGGTGACTTCTAAAGGTGTTTGGAGCTTGACCCAAGATAATACCAGCTGGTAGGCCCTACCTTCAAGGGAAGTGAAAGTAGATGTGTTGTGGTAAGCAGCCAGTTTGAAACAAGCCAAAATGTTTTACTGTACCCCCTGAGAGTTCATGTCCTATTCCATGGAGCCAAGGAGCTAACTGCTCTGTGATATATAATTGCTGGAATAAGAACTAACTGTGTCTGGTTCTGGAGAGACACTTTGTGGTTTGTTGTATCCAGTTCTTGTGCTCGTGTCTTGAAGAGGATGTGATAAATGCTGATGGCTTGTAGGCAGGTTTTGTCTGCAACAAAAAAAATCAGTTCCTTAAATTGTAATTGAGTCTTGTAGCCTGCTGTGATGAGCTGCCTCTTGCATGGAAGCACAATCTGATTGTGTGTGCTACCTTATCTTATTGAGCAAATGTGTAATTGGAGCCTAGGGCTGGCAGCCAGACCCAGATGCAGCCTGGAAATAAAATGCATATTAGCACTAAGAGTCACTTACTCGCAGGAGCAGAGTATTGGGAGGGGTGAGAGGGAAGGCAGCAATTCTAGTTGCTGTATTTCAGTCAAGAGCTAGGCCCTGTCTGGAATGATGTATATTTCAGTCAGCACTGGCTGTGAAACTTTGCACCTGGTGCTTGGGGTAGTGAGGGCACAAGAGGTTGTGTGGGGTGAACGTGAATTCTGTCCTGCTGTGGGAAAATGCTGGATCCACATGCCCACCCTGGATTTTATGGAAGCAAAAGCTGCTGTTTGTAGTGTGAGAGCATGCAAGTATTCCTAGTAAGAGCTTTATAGATATGGTCTCCTGTGTTTTATGTTGGATCCATTAGATGGAGATTGGTCAGTCAGGGTCAGGGCTAGACAGGGATCCCTGGGCTTTCTGTCTTCTCTTGCTCTCCTGGAGACCTTCCTCTCCTCTCAAATGTAGCCTGTAAATTTTACTGAAACAGCTGGAGAGCAGTCATGGAAACAGTCATGTTGCTTTGCTGTGAATGTAGTGGACTTTCCCTGTCAGTGTTTTGATAATAAGAAAGTGGTTTTACTTTTCTTATTCAGACCTTATTTTGAAGGACTGTCACACTCCAGCTCGCAAACAGAAATTGGTAGCATCCACAGCATCAGGAGCCAGAGAGAACCATCAAGTCCTGTAAGTTATGTTTCAAGAGTTACCCATCTGCAGGTGATGCAGCAAACCTGCACTATCACTGTTTGCCCATGTAGATTAAAGCACCTTTTATGACCTCCTCCAAAGACTTGGATGCAGAGAGATGAATTTTCTGCTAAGAAAACATGTTTGGGTTTTGGGGGGATTGTTTTTCTGTTTGTTTCATTTGGGGTTTTTTTTTTTTGTTTTTAATGCAAATTTTGTATTTGTACCAAGGGTACATCTTCAGGTTATGTCCTGAATACTTGCTCATGGTATGAATAGCTTCAGATTCCCTTGTGATTGAAATGACTGCCAGGATGGGAGATGTTGCCTGGAAGTTATAAGGACTCCTTGGCACTGTTTGGAAGGAACTTTACCTTACTATTGTGGAGATACTTTTCATAGTGGCTGGGAGTGAATGCTGAGGGACAGCTCAGCCCCTTTTCCATTCCCTCATGGTCAGGCATACTAAGTGCATAAAGTGTCAGTCCCATTCCAGGGCACTTCCTTGCCTCTACTGTGTATTGTGCATCAGCTTTGCCACATCCCACACAGTGTACAGTCCTGGTGTGACTAGAAAGCACTCCTGGTCATCCTGCAGAGCCGTGAAGTGTTTAAATGGAAAAGTGTATCTTTTGAATGGCCTGATCCAGAGAGTGCAGCCAATGAACTGTGCTGATGCTGAACCTTCTGATGATTTTTCTCCTCTCAAGCAGGTAGAAGTGCCTGAAAAGACAAAGACTCTTGGAACCAAACATGCAGGCGACAGTATCTCTGATACTGTTCCTTATGTAAGTTTAAAATGCACTTGACATTCTCCTGTCAGTTTGAGTGTCAGCTGTGAGCTGCATTCAGTGGCATGTGTCTGTCCATCTGTATTGTGGCACGTGCAACACAACTTCCATGGGTAACATCTGCTGCAGTGAAGGTAATGCTGAGTTCTCCTCCTGACCTTAATTGTTGGAGGTTCTTGTCTTTCAGCCTTTTGCTGCTGAAATGCTCTACATGGCCTTCTGTTTAAACAGCCTTTCTCTTGGTTTGAGGAGCATGTGCATCATCCTGAAAAGGATTCTCAGGGCTGTTCCATTTTATCAGACAGAATACAGGTTGAATTGGCAGAAATAAAGCTGGTCCTCAGGTTAAAATCCCAAAGCTCAAGTTGTTCTGCTGGGGACATGCAGATGTGTAGCATTTCTCCAATGTCATGTTCTTTTCACTAGTTCATTTGGGTAAGCTGTATTGCAGGAGGAGGCACATCCCTGGCTTTGAGCTGGGAGAGTAGCTGTTCCAAATAGCATATCTGAACACCTTTCCTACTCCCAGCTCCCTTGTGAGGCAGAGCTGGGAACTGGTACCCCCAGATAGCTAGTGTTGGTTTCTCCCTTTGGGCAGTGAGTAGTAGCATGCCTGGAAGAGGCAGGCTGAATGTGCCCCAGCCAGAGTTAAGCTCCCCAGGTGAGACAAAGGAGAGGGTTTGTTCCTGGTAACTCTGTTCCCTGTGTTTTTGTAGGAGTCTAACCAGCAACCTGAAGTCCAGGAGGCTGAACTTCCCACACCAGATGTGTTTGTTGAGAAGCTCCCACCCAGTGGGAAGATCACTAAGACAGAGTCTCTCATCATCCCATCCACCAGGTAGAAGGTTGTGCCTGCTGCAGGGGTGCTTGGAAAGTCATGGACAGTGTGCTAGGATTTGGTCAGATTGACCACTGACTGCAAAGACAGTGTGTTTGGGCACTTAAGTGAGGGGTCTTGAGCCCTTGATAAATATGTACTCAGAACCCTGAAGGGCAGCACTGCTCTGAGGCTGCTCCATGACCAAGGAAGTTTTATAAAACTCAGGAGCTGTTTGTTCAAAGATACTGTTGCTAAGTCAATGTCTGAATGCAAGTTTTGGCCTGAAAGGGGGTTGTCAAGTCTAACCTATGTCCTGTTAAACTTTCCCAAACAGAGTAGCGAATGTGGGCTTGAGCAATCTCACCATATAGTTTCTCTGGTCATTTGCAAGTAAATAGTTGTTCTTTTGGAGGTATTTCTGTGCTGCTTTGGGGTGTGTGACTGCAGTTTGCATGGCTAGATCCTATTATGCTGGTGTGGCAGTAGCAGAGCAGTGGTGTGGATCTAAGCATGGGCTGTGGAAGTCTTCCTGGGAGTCCTGGGAATGTGCTTTGTAGCTGAACCATGTGCTCTGCACTGTCAGAAGCAGAATGAGCAGGTCTCAAGCTAGCTCAGATCTATGTGCACAATTCCCCGGTGCCAGCATTCACATTATTGAGGTTGCCAGACTGGGAGATCTGGGATTTGCAGGGTGTATCTCACTCAGAGATGAGCCAGCTCTGGATTGTAAGCACATCTCTCTGACAGGTCTGAAGGGAAGCAGACGGGACGTCGGGGAAGGAGCACATCCCTGAAGGAGAGGCAGCCCGTGAGGCCTCAGAACGAGAGAGCCAACAGTCTGGACAACGAGCGCTCTCCAGACACCCGGCACCACTTACAGGTGTAAAAAACATTGCTGTCTCTCCAGCCACTCAGAGTTTTTCCTCTTCTCCAACTGTGTCCTGTGGTCCTTTTCCTTCTGCTACAAGTGCTGTCCCTGCTGGAAAGGAACTGGGCCCCGCAGCTTCAGGAAGGAGGGAATTTATGTCTTGGTTGAAACTATCTTCCATCCAGTCTGCTGGGGTTTGCCAGCTTGTAGCTTTGTCAGCCAGCCATAAACTGAAAACACTGGAACAGATTGTTAGAATGAGAAATGAATAGGGATGTGTTGAGGAATTACTCCTTTGAAATAAGGCAGATTCCTAGGGATTGCAAAAGGGAACTGACTTGTGCACAGCATATGTGCCGTGCTTTTGTTAGCTGTGGGACTCACTTATTTTCCTCCGTCAAGGAGATTGTTCCTGGCTTCTATGAATCCAAAATTCCATCTGCTACTCTTAGTGTAAAATACATAAAAGTGCATGGCAGGAGGAATAATGGCCAGTGTATCCAAGGTGGCTGATGCTGCAGCCTGCAGAATGCTGCAGTATATTGAAGAAGCTGCTGAGTGTCAGTCCCAGCAGCCCACGTGCTGCTAGTGTGTCTCTGCTGATGGAGTGACTGGGCAGCATGCACAGCCACCTCATGAGCTGCAAGAGCTGGAGCTGGTGGCTTGATGGTTAGAGCTGACATCTCCTCCTGTTCTCTTCTCTGTGTTTTTATTTCCAGATCCCCAGGAAAACAGTGTATGACCAATTAAATCACATCCTGGTTTCCGATGACCAGCTGCCAGAAAACATTATTCTTGTCAATACATCTGACTGGCAAGGCCAGGTAAAGACAGGAGATGTTACCTGGAGCACAGTTCTCCTGCACTGTTCCTCCTCAGGAATGGACAGGCCTTGAGCTCTACCACTAGCCAAGTAGGTTCTGCTGCTTGGTTGGAAGAGCAGTGGTGGTGCGTGTGGGCTAGCAGCATACTGAGTGTTCAGTGCCTACAGACTGGATTTCATTTGACCAGGAGATGTTGTGGATCTTGTAAAGCTTTGCCACCTGAGAGTCTTTCCATGGAGGTTTTTTCTTTTCTACAAAATGGCATTCCTTCTGGTTAGCAGCACACTGGGAATGGCTAGACCCTTGCACTCAAAGCCTGCTTCTAAACTGTGGCAAACTGGAACAAAGGAAACAGGGAGGTTTGGGCTGAGATTTCTAGGCATAGATAGTGAACACAGGAGAAAATATTTTGGGTCAGCTGTGTAGCTGTGCAGGTGCACTTGTGATTCCTGACTGCAGGTATGGCCCCCCATCTTTTTTGAGAGAGTTGTGTTAAGGAGAACCCTGAGCAGTGCTTTCTTTTGCTGGCAACATGGGGTGGTTTGGTACAGGCTTGGAACACATTTTGCTCCTTTTGGAACCTTACTCTGAGAAAGCAATAAAATATGTATGGAAAAGGACCAATAAACATGTGCTGGGTGAAGAACTTGTGCCAGGCTTATGGAGTTAGATTGTCTGGTTTGGCTTTCTGCTTCTGGAGGAACTAGGGTCTCAGTGTCTGAAGGAGGAAAAATTCCAGCTGAGCTACTGGTTCTGGTTTCTCTGTACTTGGAAGACAGAAATGCCTGCAGTATCAGAGGACATGAAGCTATTATTGGCTGGGGTGTATAGATTAGTAGTGCAGAGTTTGAAAGTGTGAGATAATTGTTGAGTGCCATCAGTATTATCTCCATGTGTACCTGAGTTGTGTCTTGTTCCCCATTAGCTGCATGGAGGGGAAATAATCCCTCATGAGGAACACGTGTGTTGGTAGCACTCTTCCCTTTTTGCAGTACTTGAGGGTGGGCAGAGCATTGCAATTGTGTAATTCCTTTTGAAATCAGAGAGATGCAACTGCAGTTCCACAAGCAAGCAGGCAGGTAGACAGTATCTACTCTTACCCAGTGCTGTCTGCTAAGTGAATGGCCTTCAGCTCCTGCCCTTCCCTCTGTGGCCATAAGAACTGTGCTGTTCTGGAGTTGTTGCCGTGTTTGGGATGTGGTGTTGTTGTCTGTCAAGAAGATGTTTCCATTTTTCTAGAGGAAGAGCTTTCCTTTGGCTGCTGCACAAGGATGAGGTATTTGAGAAATAGCCAAACTGCACACAGGGAGAGTGCCCAGGTTTGGGTGTGAGAATACCTAGGAGGCTGGGGGAGGCACATTTTCTTCTTGTGACAGACTGTACCAAAAAAAGGATTATAAAATACTCTGTTCTCTCCTCAGTACCTATCAGATGTCTTGCAAAAGCATACCTTGCCAGTGGTCTGCACATGTTCCTCCGCTGATATTCAGGCAGCTTTCAGCACTATTGTCTCCAGGATACAGAGATAGTAAGTTCTCACCTTGCATGTGTTGTTTGTCTCAGCTCTAAAAGCCTCTCAGTGCCTGTGACCCAGGGTCCAGGGAGTTTATTTCTCAACTGCTGGATGAAACTTCTCCCTTCCAATACTTCTGCCCAATATACTCCTCTGAAGCCAGAATTGTGTGACTCTTCAGCACCCACCAACCCTACATTGTTTTTGCTGTTCTGCCATGTGTGTCAGGGATACAAGTCATTAACAGCAGTGATTATAAAATACTCTGCTTTGGAGGCTGCCTGATAGATCAGCTAACCAGTAAAGCATGCAAAACTTATAAGCAATTTTCTAATAGTTCTACTCCACCCCTCAAGTAATTCCCAGATTAATTTCTCAGTTCCTCCAGGCACTACCTACTTAGTTAGGAGTTACCTACTGAGGGCTGTGGGTACCCAAGTGTGTTCTCTGACCCAGCAGTTAGTAGCATTAGGTACATCCTAACCTAGATGGTTGAATCCAGCCCTTTAGATTATCAAAATGTATGAAACAAGGAATCAGAAGACCAATTAAGAAATGACTGAAGAATGTTGTATTTTATTAATAATGCTTTAAGCTGCTGCTGATCATTGTGATATTGCCTTGTGTATTGAACAAACTCTCTTCAGCCATAATTGTTATTAACCAGTTATTTTTGGTAATTGTTCTGAAATATGTGGTTGGAAGCACAATTACTAATATGTTTCCTCTTTTTCTGTCTAGCTGTAACTGCAATTCGCAGCCTCCAAACCCAATTAAAATTGCGGTGGCAGGAGCCCAGAATTACCTCAGTGCTGTGTTGAGGCTCTTTGTAGAGCAGCTGTCTCACAAAACCCCCGACTGGCTCGGCTACATGCGATTCCTGATCATCCCTCTAGGTAAATAAGGAACAATTTTCCTTCATGGAAAGATGAATGGGTTAAATGTGCTGTGTTCCCTCAGGAGAAGCCTTTCTGGAAGCTTTGGCTATAGGTATATGGCTATTAAACGATACAAATTTGTATTATTGTGCAATGCTTGTGCTGCTGCTCTCATGTGAGTGAATTTCATCTTTACCTTCTTGATGCTCAAGTCTGATTGTAAACCTTTTGTTTGAAGCAAATGATTAAGTACTTCCTCCCCATACTGGGACACTCTTATATATCTTTTTATCATGGTACTGTGAATGCACAAAATGATGTCCTAGAAGCCCTTTCCCTGGCTGAAATGTTAAATGCATTGAGCACCATGTTTCCCAAAGCGATAACTGTTCTGGCATCCCTGAGCCTGACTCAGAAAATGTTAATGGAGAAGGGGTTGAAAATTTTGTAAAGGTTCTGAAACTGCTGAGAATTTAAATTATTCAGATTAGATGCATCTTTTGACCTTTCCTTTACATGCTCTTCTCCTCAGGTTTTTCCCTCACTTTTCTAGCACCTTATCTCTGCCCTTTCAGCAGCTCAACAAACCTGCCTGGCTGGAAAGTTACCCAGCTTGGATCACCTGTGGTGAGGGAAGTAGAGTGGACTGATAACAACGTTAAGGGTCTTATTGTAGTCAGAAACATGAGCAATGTTGTAGCAGCAAGACCTGGGAAGGCAGGTAGTCACTGGTGCCTGTAGGCAGGGGCATCTGGGCAGTGCTGGTGTGGTAAGGGTATGAGACCAGGAGCTGCTCTAGTCTGAGGCTTGGCTTGTATGAACAGGGCTCTTAGGTAGGTAGGCAATAGAAACCTTGAAAAGCACCTTTTCCTTGTATTTTCTAGTCTTCTAGATTTGGGACCTGTTGATGGCATTTCCTGCAGGAATCAGAAGCTGCTGCCTAGCACCATGGAGTTAGGCTGTCAGTTCAGTAGTGGGATTTGCAGAAGTCAAATCAAAAAGGCAAAAAAGAACTGGATCCTTCTGTAAGGAAGGCATTTAGCTTCCAAAGTGGTTGGCAGAAAGAGAAAAGAGATCTCTTCAGGGGGTAAAAACAAAAAAATAATTTCTGTGAGGTTAAATGTGCTTTGAATGAGTCTGTGACTAAGACTTTGGTCCTCACTTGCTGACTGTCTCCTGGCCTCAGAAGAGTTTTCTGTCCTGCAGTCATTAATGTTCTGAAATATTCTGTCTTTGAAAGTGAGACACAAGATTCAGCCTGTATGGATTTGGGTTGATTTTTCAATCTTAAAACTTTCTTTTGTAATAATAAAAAAAAAAGTGACAAAACACTTTGACGAAACTGCTTCAGAACTGTGAATGCTTTTTAAATGTGCTTTAAATATAGAAACTTCTCTAGCAGGGCCTTTTCCATAGAAGTCTGCAGTATTTCCTGATCGGATCAAGTGCTTATTTCTGGCCAGCTCTCTGGCAGTTCATTAGAGTGATTGAGGAGCAACCTCTCATTTCTGACAATTGAAAAAGCACCAGAGAGAACAGTGACCAAGCCATGAATGTTCTTAAAGGAAAAGCCTTTCCACTCTTAGCAGTACCTTCAAACTAGGGATGGTGAAGTTTTTCCTAAGATGGTTTTACCTTTGGAGTCCACAACTACACACTACAATGATAGACTCAACCTACAGGGGGTTTGTTAAGGATGTGATATGCTTAGTGTCTGTAAGCATTTGTACTGGGAGATTCAGTCCTACTTCATGCCTCTGATTCTATGGCTGGAAGACTCCTTTGATGTCCAAACCAGGGTATGAAAAACAGAAAGGGGCAAGTAAAACAAAATAAAAAGTTTGGGGGCTATTTTGGCTGTTTCAGGTACTTTAACATTTTATTTAGCTCCAATGGATAGAACTTCTTGGGAGACCTCCTGCTTATTGTTTCCAGCTGTATCTGCTGTGTGTGATGTGTTTTCCCACATGCTGGGAAAGCTGCCCCAGTGCCTGGTGCAGAGCTGTTCCATGTGCACTGTTTAAAACTCCATTGCAAAAGAAATTATGGGTGTGAAAGTAGCTATGATCAGGAGGGGCCAGGAAAGAACTTGGGCACCAGTCTGTAATGACACTGGGGGAAGCTCAGAGAGACCTGCTTGAGCCTTTCCTGGAGGTCTGGAAATTAGTAGTGGTTTGGAGGAGTGAGAACAGACAGTGGGGTTTTCCCACCATGAGTTTGCTGGAACATGGTGAGTATAGCTAAACAACTGGGGTCCTCTTGGAAGATGATGTCAGTTGTCAGAAGTTGTTACCAGTTACTAACTGGTGACTCAACTGTTGCAGCCTCTGGATGTGTGACTTGATGTGAGAATTTGGTATGCAGGAAGGATAAAAATAAGCTGATTAGGAAGAACTCTTAGGCTACTTCGTGTCTGATTGTAAATGTACAGGACTCTGCTGAACACGACTGCCACGTGGTGACTGGGAAGTGCAATCTTGGCACACCTTTTCTCCTGTGACCTAAAATGAAGGTGGCAAACTTTTGCCACCTCCCAGGGCACAGTTTGTCACTTAAACTCCTTCCCTCACCTGCTCAGTGTAAGTATGAAGTCAGATCTCCACCCAGGGCTGCAAGGTGGAGGCTGGACACAAACCTTTGCAAGGAGGTCTTCCCATACTCATAGAGGAGCTGAGCCACAAGGCTGAGCTAGAGCAAGCAGGGACCTGATGCATATGCCAACATTCACTGGGTACAGTAATCCTTGAACTCTTTAAATCTTTAATTGCAGCCTATTTATTGAGCTTATAGCCCTTCTGTGGGCCACTGATTAAACAAGCCTCCCCAGGTTGTTTTTCCTGGTTGGAGGCAATTGCCTCTTCTCAGTATTGTGAAACAGCTGTGGTGCACGAAGGGCATTTAGAGGAAGGGGTCTGGCTCCTCTTGGCAGAGGTGACCTGGCCACAGTGTGTGCAGTAGAGCCTGAGGGCAGGAAGAGCTGCTGGGAAAGCTGTTTGCAAAACTGAGAGATGGAGAGCTGTTAGGGTCTCTGTGTCTTCCAAATAATTTATTTCCTCAGCAGTTTCCCAGTCCTGTTTTCTTTGGCCTTTGAAAATTTAATTTGGTGGGGTGAAGGGGAAAGTGTCAATTTAAAGATATCAGTGTGTTGAAGCAGTCTTTGCTGGGAAGTCTGTTTGCATGCTCTTGTAGAGATAAGTTGGACTTAATGACTTGGTTATAATTGAAGAAGTTTATTTCGGCGGTGTCTAGTGTAGTTTTGATTTTGGAGTTTAATTACTTACAGATAAAAACCACACTTGTGTTCAGTGCTGGAACAAACAACTCTCAAGTTTTCCTTTCTTTCTTAGGCTCTCATCCAGTGGCCAAGTATCTGGGTTCTGTAGATTATAGATACAACAACTTCTTCCAAGATCTAGCCTGGAGAGATCTCTTCAACAAACTTGAAGCACAGACCACTGGTAAGACCATGTGTTTGTGTCTGGCCTGTGTGGGATGAAAAGCTTGAATGAGTAATTTTAGCAAAGGTCAAGTAAATACAAGAGGAAGCAGAGAAATGTTTTTGTTCTTCTTTTCTCCTCACTCCACCACGTTCCCATTTCAGATGCTGACCTTTCTAAGTCCTCCACGCAGTGGTTTGCAAACAATTGTTGGCTCTCAGAGGTACTAACTGCCTCTGAGTCACAGTGCTCTTACCTAGCTCTCAGCTTTGTTCTTTGATGTGGAGGTCTCACTACCAAGTTTAGTGCATTACTTTCCTTGGCCCTTCAGACCAGCCTAAAAGATCTGGAAAACTAGAAGCTCTGGGAAGATTAACTTACAGTTACAGTTGTGCATGAGAATGACCTTGAAATTTCTAAAGTCTGCTGGCAGGATCTTTCTTGTTAAAGACTTTTTGTTCTTCACTAGTGTGGTAACAAACGGGAGCTGCCCTAGGTCAGATCAGCAAGTTCCTGTTCTGATCTGAGTCTGTTCTATGCTGGGTTATAGCCTTACTGTATGTTAAAGTATTAATTTGCTTAAAATATTAATGCTTACAGTTTTTTCATCCATTCCTTCAAGAACAAAAAGTAACAGGAAAAAGAAGGATTTACACCTGACCCTTAGGGCTACATGAAGGCTTGAGGTTTGACTGAGGAGTGATGCTCTCATGGCAGCATAGCCCATACTGAAATTTCACTAGAAGGAAAAAGCTTCAGAATTTTTAGAGCATCCTGAGTGTGGGGAGGTTGCAGTGTGGTTCTCCTGTTGGAATTGCAGAGTACCTGAGGTTCCCAGGATACTTTTGGAAGTGCTCTAGCCATGAGATGAGGAGAGAGACACCTCTTCATAGGTAATTGTTGAGGCCTTTTTCCAGCAGATGGGAATGTGGCTGGACAAGGCCTTGGGCATCCTGTTCTGAAGGTGAAGTTAGCCCTGCTTGGAGCAGGAGACTGAACTAGAGATCTCCTAGTGTGCCACCCAACCTATGCTTTTCCTTCATTCTAACCTTGTGGAAAAACAGTTATACAGAACTGGTTTCTTTTCATTCCTTGCTGCTCTTGAAAATGCAAATAAATGTTCATACAGACTTGATTTTTGTGTCTGGGCTAGGAATACTTCCTTTGCTATAGAAATCCAGCCCAAGAGCCATAGCACTATCTGTATTTCCCTGATGCTATAAGGAAGATGCCACTCCATTTTTGTGCAGTCCAGACCTTGTGCATTCTGCATTTTCATCCATGCAGTGAGAGCTGCACACCAACTCCCCAATGGCATAAGAAGATCTGGCAAAGGGTCATAGCTCTTTAACAGTTCACTGTTCAAATACAAAGAGTCTGGGTTAAAATATCCATTAAGGTATGGAAGTGCCTGGTGAAGGTCAGTTGTGTTCCCCTGATCTCACAGTTGAGGTTCTTCAATTGAAACTAAAGAAATATGAAAGGCATTTAGGGAATGTTTTCCTGTCAACTTGAATCAGACACAGTCTCACAGATCTGTAGCATACTTGCTGCCACACACGTGATCTTCTGTGCTCTTCCTACCCTTGCACATCTCTCAGTCTTTTCAGTTAACTCAGCAAGGCCATGAGTTCATGAGGAAATCAGGTAACTCAATGCTGGAGTGAGCAGACCAGCTCAGTAAGGCCCTGGGAGAAATAGCCAGGCACTTTATCCACCAGATACCTGCAGTTAAGGTGTGAACAAGTCTTAAGTTGACTCTGGGCAGGTACACCTTTTCAAAGAAAAGCTTTTCACAAGTATAAAATACCCATAACACTTGGGTCAGTAATGCTGTGCGCAGATGTCTGTCCCTTGCTACCCTTCCTAATGTTTTCACCTTGATGCTCTCATAGGATGTTTGCCTTTGGTCAGACAGCTTTTCTGTGCTTTGGGGTAGGCAGAGCTTCCTTTGGAAGATGCAGTTCAAATGCAACTGGTTGGATACCATCAGCAAGTGGAGGACAGTGGTGGTGATGGTCTGAGGAGAAGTTGCTTAAATGCTTTTCTCTCTGTTCTGTTGCAGTTCCAGAAGCACCTGATGTTGTTTCCCGGATAACACAGTACATAGCAGGGGCAAACTGTGCACACCAGTTGCCCATTGCTGAAGCCATGCTGACATACAAACAGAAAAGGTATGTCACCGACATCATACTGGTGTCCAGGGTGAGCAGCTGGTTGAAAACAAAGTGCTTTTCTCATCTTATGTGCCAGCAATCTTAAAATCACTCCAAATGGCAAAACCCTTGGGAGCCTTGCAGTAGTTTGCACCCAGTGATGTGTCCCACTTAGTGAATCTACGTCAGTGAGGTTACTTTAAGTGCAGTGATTTCTTTGAATACATGAGAGGTTTGGGGAAGTGGAGGGAGACAGATTATATCTGCTTAGGTTCCAGACATCTCTTGCCACAGAGACCTCAGATGTGTAAGACTGGACCTTGGCATTCTCCCTCAAAGCATTTTCGGTGAGATCTGGGGTTTTTACATCGGTGTTTAGGGAAAATGAAACCCTTTCTTTTTGAAGCATTAATAGCAGAGCTTCTTGCAGGAGAGACAAAATTGTTGTTGATGGGCAGTTGCAGGCTAGCAAGACTCCTGCTGGAGGGGACTGGCATTGACCAGATTTTATTTCAACTTTGCTTAAGGGATAAGCAGCCCGTAGGAGGGAGGATTTGGGAATTGAAAACAAGATTCAGGAGTATGTAGAGCCTCATGTGGCCATGGTCCAGGAAGAAGAGTAACTGCCAGTGAAGGGTAGAGAAGTATTGTTACAGAGACTGGACAGAGGAGAAGAATAGATTCCAACTCACATCCCAGTAATTTCCGAGAGTAGGACAAACACTCAGCTCATATGATTTTTCTCAGGGACTAGAAATTTCCTGTGAGGCATGGATGGTATTAATTATTAATTACTTCTATTCAATTTTTTTATTTTTGGTCCGTTAACATCCCTCAGTGCTGTCTTCTTTGCATAAGAATTGGGAGGGATTAAAAGTGTGGGTAGTCACTTTTTTGCCTCTCTTTTTGGAAATTCTCATTGTATATTGCTTTTCCATTCCTGTGTCTGTACTTATATTACTGAAATGATTCAGTAAAATTTTACCTCTTCTACAGGTTTTCCTAGGGAAAATATTTCCAGACTGACTAGTCCAGTAAAAGAGACTAGTTCAGTCTCTTCATGTATTTGTGAACTGTAAAGTTAGCATGATAATAAGGATGAAGTTTGAAGAGCCAAGGGTACTAAAAGCTCTTGGCTTCAATATTCCATGTTGATTTTGGTGTGAAGGCTTACCTTAGTTAGCAGTAGGGAGCTCTGACCCCCCTAGTGCAGTGTGAACCCCTTCTGGTGGCTTCCCTAAGGCTTACCTAGCAGTGGGGAGCTCAGATCCCCCTAGTGCAGTGTGAACCCCTTCTGGTGGCTTCCCTGTTCTGTCTTCACCCTTTGGTTGCTGGGTTCTGCACTGGTTTCACTGCCTCCTCCATTCCCTTACAGATTCATTTTTATCATTGACACACTTGTAGTTTCTGATGTGCCCAGAAAGGTCAGTTTGGTACTTGGTTAAAAAACATCTGAGGGGAGCTCAGATCCCCCTAGTGCAGTGTGAACCCCTTCTGGTGGCTTCCCTGTTCTGTCTTCACCCTTTGGTTGCTGGGTTCTGCACTGGTTTCACTGCCTCCTCCATTCCCTTACAGATTCATTTTTATCATTGACACACTTGTAGTTTCTGATGTGCCCAGAAAGGTCAGTTTGGTACTTGGTTAAAAAACATCTGAAAGGTACTTGAGCAACTCATGCCCTTAGCCCTCCCAGTGGTGTGTGTGACCACTTTAGCAAGCTGGTCTCATTCCTTGGATTTTAGACCCTTTGGACTCTGTGGTGCCATGCCTGAGGCTCTTGATAGGTTTGTCAGGCTCAAACTCTGCAGAAGGTCACCGAGAAGAGAGATTGTTGACACTCATAGACTCTAGCATTGCTGGCAGTCTCTCAGTATCTCTGTGTGTCCACTTTAATGTAACTTCTACTTTCAGGTCAGTACTCCATGAGCAAAGGAGAGTAAGTTAGAGGAACAGGCTCTCCCATGGAGCATGGGCAATTGTATCCCAGTGTAGCTTCCTTTAGAAATGTGTGGCTGTGTCACTGGCAGCAGCTTAGGGAGGGTATTGTGGAAAACAGCATAAAAATTGTGTCTTCATTAGCACTATCTAAATGAATGCATCACTTTGTTTTAAGTATAATAACACATTTATCTTTTTCTTTGGTTGCTTCCTGAAAAGGAAAAAGAGCTTTCATTTTGATTTTACCATAAGGTATCAGTTCCTTTTAGGATCCCTCTCCCATCTCCTATCTCTTTTCCTGGTGAACTGGTCTTTTGTGCCTTGTTTAACAGTTCCTGCGGGTCTGGGATGCACAGTTTGTGCTTCAGGTTAAATTCTGCTCGCTGCTTTGAAACTATGGCATCTGCTGGCAGAATGCATAGTTGAAAGTGACTGCTGTGCCTTTGGACCACACATTTGGGTTCCCAGGATATAGACTGAAAGGGAATGAAGGAGTTACTGAGTGAGTAGCTTTGAACAGTAAAATGTGGAGAAGGTAGGGTTTTTTCCTTGCCTTCTTCCTAGCCATCAGGGGATATGCTGTAGCTCCAAAAGGATCAGGACTGAGTAAAGGCTTTTCAGTTCCCATCTGGTGGAACTGGAGTGCTGTAAGTGGCACTCAGTGGCTCTGGGTGGGATTCAGCTGTGCAGTGTCCAAGTGCAGACCAGCAAATCTCCCTGTAGCGAAAAAATTGAGGACTAGTCTCTTACTGGCAGGCTATCCCAAGTGCATGGACTTCTCTGAGTTTAAAAAAGAGAAGGCAGATGTATGCTAGCAGTGCAGTTGTGCAGTATGAGCTGCTTCCAAGACCCCTTTGCTCTCCAGGGTCCCCTGCTTCAAATCATATGTTCATTGGGCTTTGTTTTGTCCTTAGCTCACAATGTTACTGCCACTCCCTCTCCCTCAAGGCCAGAGGTGAATGGCTTCTCCAAGACCAGCTTCCAAGGCAGTGGTCCATGTAGAAACAGCAGTGCTACCTGCAAATTCATGGAAGGAGAATTCTCCCAGAATCCTAGCATTTGCTCTGTTAAACAAGCTCTAGTGGTCCAAGGAAAGCCAAGCCAGTCTGTAGGACATAGCTGTATGTGATGAGCTGCTTTAAACTTTATTGCCAGCTATCCCTATTTTGACTTACCTCTGCTCTCCTTCCCATGCCCTTGTTCTGTTTGTCATGGCAAAAGGTTGGCGCATGTACTGCCTGTGATGGACTGCAATGTGCCAAAGCTTTGTCGTGTTCTTCTGGAGCATCTGCTGCCCTTACCTGAAGTCAGGGGGGTTGGCAATGAGCAAGAGGTTCAAGAAGGAAATGAATTGCCATTGCAGCTCCTCTGTGTTACGCTGGGTGACTGACTTTGTCTGTGAGCCTTGGGAGAAGTACTGGTTAGTGAATTGTCAAGGAAGAGTTAAGTGCAGGCAGTATCTGGGGAGCTGAGACCATGGTGGTGAGGTGGGCCTCTCACTACGAGGTGTGAGATCTCTCTGCATTGCTTTTCTGGAAGAAACTTCAAGATGTTTGAGATCTGAGACTAACCAGACACTCATTCCCAGTGCAACTGGATTGCTGATCAGCTCTGTGAACCTGGACTAGTGTCACCCACTAATTCAGTGCCCAACACAGCTCATGCCATGTGGCTTCTGGGTAGCCCTTGTAGGATCTTGGGAGCAGCTTGGCTGTTGGAAATAGAGACATTGCTTTCTGCTCTGGAAGAGGGCTGGGTCATTTCCTGCCTGGTTTCATGTTTACTGATAGCTCTTCACTCCCAAGTGTTGTAGAGCACTTCCCAGCTCTTCTTCCCTGGAGTGCAGTTGTTTTGGGTTGGAGGGTTCCTGGGCATTAGGAGGCAATGTCCCTGTGTGCCTAGGAGGCTCTGCAAGGCAGTGGCTAGGCAGAGTCCAGGTCATTGCTCTGAGTGCTGTTTCTGAAGCACACCCTGCAGCAATTGATGAACATGAACACAGCTGGTGAAGATGGGCCTGGTCCTTCCTCTGGCTCAGCAGAACCCATGTCATCTGACTGGTTGCTGCAGGAACCTCCTTGGGAAGCTGGTGGAAACACAGCAGGAGTTCACTGTGCCCCTGGCCTGGCCAAGCAATGCAGCAGAGGAGAGGCAAGGCTCATAAAAATGCTGGATGTCATGTGGAGTGTGTTCAGCCCCTGTAGGAATGTGAAAAGTGCTGGACAGGAGATTTCTGGACAGGCTGAGGCAACTCATGTGATGCGTCATGGGGATCTGGAGTTGCTTTGTCCCTTTGGAGACCTGGTGGAACCAGGACAGGGTTATGCATCAGACAGCTGCAGTTGCCCAGTGGGAAGGACAGATTTCATACCAAAGATAAATCTTGAAGAGTTGTTGGTAGTGCCTGGCCTGAAATGCCTTAGAGGCTTGCTAGTCCTTCCGTGATAAAAGTCCCCTCTTTCCTGTTTCCCCCTTTCAGGACTTGCCTGGAATAAAGGTAGTACCTGAGAACTTCCTGCTAGGAAATTATAAATATTTGGCTTCATTTGAATCTGTTTTGGGTTGCTTTAATTTTAGACAAGATCTTACTAAAAGGCTAATAACTGTTGTAACTGCTCTAAGTGATTATTCAGTCTCTCTTACTGTAATGTCCAAGTGCTTTGCGTCTTAGTTTGTACTTTGCCCTAGAAGTGAGAGAGATTATTCCTTCCCTTGTCAGGTGGGTGACTCCTGGTGATATGGCTTCTCCTTTCCAAGAGTCCTAAAACTTACAAATCTGGCTATGTGTATTCATCTGAATTAATTTCTTGGCGTGGGGAGGGAGCCTGCAAGTCGATTTCTGGACAGGTTACCTTTGAGGGACTTATAGCAGGTGGATGGATTTTGTCCAAACAAAACCAGTAATTTTTTGTTTCAATTACTGTTGAAAGTCACAAACCAGGGTCAGGTCTGGCTTTAAACTACAGCTGGGGTACCAGGGCCTTCAGAAGCCCTGTGGGTAAAAGCAAAGCCTTGGATATGGCTGTGGGGTTAAACCTCTGCAGCCTGGGAATCTGTGCAGCTAAGGTAATAAGGGGGAGATGCTTTTCCGGAGACTGGATATTTTAGTTTCAGGGCTGTGGTAGGAGGAATTGAAGAGGCTGTTACCAAGGTGAAAGGATTCTGGATTAATATTTTGGGATCTTGGGATCCTGAAGAACAAGAATTGGGAAAGAGGAAGTGGAGAACAAGCACAGTCATCTCATCTTTCCTTTCATCCCCATGAAGAGCAGCTGTTTAGACAAGCTGCATTTTCCGAGGCACATGTGCAAGACTGGAGTTCCCAAGAGGACGTGTGTCAGGACTAGACTAGCCAAGCTGAAATCCAGCTGGATGGCTTCAGGAGCAGTCTGTGCATCATTGTGAGCTGTGATAAATGGTGGCTGAAGCAAATTGGTTATTTCAGGATTGCCCCTGAGCTCTCTGCAGTGAGAGTCAGCACTCAGGGGGAATGACTTTTCTGCTGGAATTGAGCATGGTTTGTTTTTTGAGAGCTATGGACCAGGAGGAAGCTTGACTTGAGTCGTGTTCACTGCAATTCTATGCCATTCTTT